ACCGTGGGTAATAACGATTATCGGAAACCCATCTATTGGGTCCGGAAGGCTCCTGGTTCGAGTCACTGAACCTCACACTGCTCCCCACTGTTTACTTTGGTGATGGGTTAAAAGCAGAGGTCACATATTGGTTGTGTGTGCAGTGATGTGCTGTGTCACAATGACTTGACATTATTAGTGCACGGATACAAAATGACTGCACCTGTTCGGTACTAACTGCAGTGGTGTGCTGTGTCACAATGACTTGACATCATTAGTGCACAAATACAAAATGACTGCACCACTGTACTAACACTCCCAGTCAACTTTACCAGACCAAAGTGGACCAGACGGGAAAGCTTCGACCACTGTTTACTGCCTGGACCTACAGCTGCACAACAGCAGTGGGTTGGGTTAGAGCAGAGACTGTGTACCTTCTAGTCACAAATGTGTTTCTGGAAGGAATTAGCATTAGTCCCAGAATAGTTGACATTATTACATACAGATCGGTACTTGTGTCAATGTAGAGTTTTTTAAAATGTTTTGAGGTGGTTGATGACTATGTTGATGATGTGCTTTTTTTTAAAATCTTTTTGGGGGGGTGTTATTTGGCTGATGAATTTGAGTCAGTACGTACCGTTTGCAGTAGCACGCACTTATTCAGCCCCTGCTCTGAACACGAGTCTTTCTATCTCTCTCATGTGAGCATTTTTTGTTAAACCGCTGTTAAGATTAAATTGACCTGAATTGTTAGTTTGACTTACACAGTTACACGGCTACGGAGCTAGCATGCCCTCTGAGCGTATATGGACAGACTACGTGTATTTTCCCACTTTATCTAAACGATAAAATACCAAGTAAAATCGTCAATTGAGGACAAGTGAATGGAAATAAGTGTTGAAATTGTTTTTAGCAACCGTCAACTACGTCAGGTGGCTAAGTTGTGCTAAAATGTGGCTCAGAGCTAGGCTAACTTAGCAGAAGGCTAACTGAACCATTTAACTGATGCTAAACGGTGCTAAAAGTGTGAACTCTTACTTTAGACTCTTCGGCTGTTCTGTGTGAAGTTGCAACAATATCTCAGCGGGAATGTCCTTCAGTGGGGCAGCAAAACGCAGGTTGTGCCGGTTACAGTGTCGTCAGTCAAAGTATTATGACGGAGGACAAGGAGCTCAGAAACTTACCGGCTCCTTCTAGTAAATTCAATGAGGAAAAGGAGGCGCAGTGGAGGCGGAGCTCGTCATTTCCTGGTGTATCAGTTTCGCTTCGTTTTACGCTGTGTTTAAGGAACACGCAAATTTTCGGATTAAAAAAAATAAACGAAGGGCAAGTTCAGGGTCTTTACATAAAATGTTGTATGTATTGTAAGTTGTAAATGTATTAGTGAGTGTATTTATATTTAATTTGACGTCAATAGAATTGTAATACTAGTATTGGAGAAATATAAGCCTGTTTTTTTTTAGTACCACCAGGATTTAATCACACTGGAGATTTACTTAGGATGCAGAGAATAGTATTAAAAGACCAGCGATTCTTGTTTGTATTATACTTCTAATGACCCTTTATTGTCCACATCATCCACAAACAAACACAGGGACAGCTTTGTGACAAATGAAAACCAAACAGTAACCATTAAAAAAACCATGACTGTAACCACAAAGTAAATATTTTCTACTAAAAAAAAAACTGCAATCAGCAAAATACAAACAAACAAAAAAAAACCCGTTCCACCACTGGAGTTAAAAACCACTGGTAGTTTACCCACAACCCTGAAGGCATCACAAGACAGAGCGGAACAGTTGTTCGTTGGTTTCTATTTTAGAGAACGAAGAGCAGATGACATCAGCACTTCTCAGTGTGTCCAGCAGAGGTCACTTTTCTAAGGAACAGTAGGAGAATTCATTAAAGAGAACTGTTTGGTTTTTTTTTTTTCTTCATTTAACTGAACTCCTTGTTGAGTTTTAAAGGTACAGTGGTGTTTTGAAAAGCTTGGGATTGACTTAAAGTAAATTAGTTTAAAAATGAATGACTTTATTTTGGGTGAAATTAATTGAATTCAAAGCTTGTTGAATTTTGTCGAGTGGACACTAAAGTGCTGCTTCTCTCCGAGGGAAATAGAAAAACACAACATACAACACCACAGACAGCGTGTAGCGCTGGGCTGTGATTGGTCCTCATTTAAATCCAGATTATCTAATCCAATCCCAGAAACAAAAACATGTTTAAAAGAAAAGAAAAGAAAGCCGTGTCCTGAACACATCAATTCAGATGGTCGCAGGTCAGAACTTATGGAATGACGGTGAAGTCGATGCTGCCCTTGATGTCTCTGAAGGTGGAGCAGTCAAAGTCAACCAACAGTTTCAATTGCCCAGTTTTGTAGGGAACGAATTGAACAGTGCAACGTAATAGTTTGTCCGGCGGCAGATTGGGAAGTCTGGAAGAAAAGAAGTGGACATGAGAATTAGAACCAGCTAATCACACTGACAGCATCGTAGTGTACATTACTACTAGGACTGGGCAATGATTATGGGCAATTTTGAATCGAGGTTACATCAAGGGC